TGGCGCCGGGGCCCTGGCCGCCTGACAAAACCATCCCCCGGAGCCAGGCGGCGGCGAGTCGGCGGCGGCTCCATCCGGGGCCTTGCGGGAGGGGGAGGGGACGGAAGCCGAGAGGGCGGGCGGCGGGGCGGAGGGAGGGAGCAGGGGAGGGGGCGCTTCGCGTTCCGGTCCCCATCGCCGGTGCCTGCCTGCCCGCCGCCACGGCGAAGGGCGTCCCGAGCGGGCGGCGGCCGGTGAGCGGTCCCACGCCGGAGCCCCGCGCAGCGGGCCCGTCAGGTGCGTAATTCTCAGGCTGCCGCGGTTGCTGCTTCTTCGGCGGCCAGGCCGCGAGCTGCGGAAGTGGGTTTGGGGGAGGGGAGCGAGCAGGGAGGGGGAGGGGAGGGATCCGGTCGGACCGGAGCAGGCCCGGCCTCTCTGGCGCTTCTCCCAGCTGCAGCGGCTCCTACAGCTGCTGCCGCTACTGCTGCGGCTCCGCCTCCCAGCTCGCGGGCGGGGGCGCGCACGCGCGCTTCCGGCCTCCCGCTGTCTGCGGCTCTCGCGCGCGCTCCTCCCCTCCCCCCCGCCCCTGGCGCCGGGGCTGTGGCGCCGGCCCGGGCGTAGCGCGCGCAGCGTAGGCGGTGGCATTGTGCTCCACGCCGCGGGACTCGGGGCGGGCGGCCGCGCGTGCACACGTGGGGCGGAGGGGAGCGGCTAGCGTGAGGTGCGGCCTGAGTGCGTCGCTCCCCCCTCCCCTCGGCCCCTGGGATGGGGCGGGGCCGGGCGGGGCGCCATCCCTCGCGCCCCGTCCCGCGTGGCCCCTCCTGGGGGCGGGGCTTGGGACTCCGGGGGCGGGGCCGGGGCCCCGGCTACGGCCAGTGCAGCTTCGGCGCCCTCCTTGCTGCTCTGCCCGGAGTCGAGCTGGGAAGGTGGCGCGGGAGGGCTGTTCCTGGGCCGGACTCTTCCCAGTGGAGCGGAACCTTAGACCGTCCATCTTTAAGCCGGAGTGCATGCATAGGCAGCTGGTCAGTCCGGAGCTACGTAGGAGGCAAGGTTTTGGTTGACTTTAGGTGGTAGCGACTTATCAGGCTCTAGAGCAGCCAGTGAAAATCCGGGTCCCAGGGCGCTTGCTGCGAGCACTTCCACCCAACTCCTACTCTGAAACAGGACCAGCCGAGTTTTTTTACTTCCCCTCCTCCCGTCCCGTTCCTCCCCGCCAGCATCACACTGTGGGCCCACTTAGAGTAACCCGGGATCCTACTCATTTTCATCGGGTGTTGATTTAGTAAAATAAGGCATGATGAAAACGGACTGCGGTGGGCTGGATTTACCTAAACAGGCTGTTGTGTTGTCCTAGTTTACACTGTCAGTAGAGACACTGACCGCCCAGAGCAAGGCGAATCTGTCACCCAACATTTTAATCTGAGAGGCATGAAATTATGTTAAATTAGAACTAAGACACTTTAGGGGCTACAGAGAGAGCTCAGCAGTTAAGAGCACTGGCTGTTCTTGCAGAAAACCGGGGTTCGAATTCCAGCATCCACATGGCAGCTAACAACTGTCCATAATACCAGTTCCAGGGGATCAGATGCCCTCTTCTGACCTCCACCTCACTGCATGACAGGGGTGCACTTACACACATGCAGACGTAATCATACACATAAGATAAAAATGGTCATTTCTAGAAAACCAAAAATCACATTTGGGGGAACATTCAGATTAACGTCTTTCCTATGTATCCAGGACATTTGTAAAGTATTGGTAATTTTTAGTAGTGTAATTTATTACTAATTCTTTAAAAAAAATCTTGACGAATTTATTTTTACTTTATGTGTATGAGTGTTTTGCCTTCATGTATATATAAGTGCAGCATGACTGCAAGGCCTGCAGAGTCCAGAAGAGGATTTTGGATTCCCTGGAGCTGAAGTTACGGTTTTTGAACTAGATATTTCTCGTTTAGTAAATTTGTGATTTCATGTATTGATTTTCTAGCCAAGGAATGGCCTACTGTTGATGCCATCATATTAAAAAATATTAAAAGTTGACTCAGTGTGAACTTGCTCTGTAGACGAGATTGGCCTCCATCTCAGAGATCTGCTAGCCTCTGCCTCCAGGCCCAACTGTACTGGCTGCTCTTGCAGAGGACCCAGGTTCTATACTCCACCCACTAGGCAGTTACCATCTGTAACTCCAGTTCCAGGGAATCTGACGTCCTCTTCTGGCTTCCACAGGCATTGCACAACTTGAATGCAATTACATACATGCAGGCAAAACACTCAAAATATAAATCAAAAAAAAATTTAGATAAAAAAAAAAAAATATATATATATATATATATATATATATGTCTTTTTGAGACAAGGTCTCCCTGTAGCTTCAGTTGGCCTGGAACTCACTATGTAGACCAGGCTGGGCTTGAACTCACAGAGATCTGCCTGCCTCTACCTCCTGAGTGCTGGGATTAAAGGTGTGTGCCAGTACACCTGGCTTTTGTATATTTTTTGAGGGAAAAAGGAAATTTTGTGGGGGCGGGGGCAGATCTCTATGAGAGGTTAGGCCAACCAAATCTACATAGTGAGTTCCAGGTCAGCCAGGGCTATTGAGACCCTGTCTCAAAACCAGCCCCCAAAAAACTTAATTGGGATTTTTTTTTTTTTGTCTTTTTGAGACAGTCTCTCTGGAGCCCCAGCTGACCTGGAACTCACTATGTAGACCAAGCTGGCCTTGATCTCATAGTGATTTGCCTGCCTCTGCCTCCCAAGTACATGCTGGGATTAAAGCTTGCACCCCCACACCCAGCTTAACTTAAAAAAAAAAAAAAAAATTGCTCGGCGTGGTGGCACACACAGAGGAGACCCTGTAGCCCCAGCTGTCCTAGAACCCGCTGTGGAGACCAGGTTGGCCTCCAACTTACAGAGATCCACCTGTCTCCCAAGTGCTGAAATTAAAGGCATGTGCCATCATGCCCAGTAACTAAAAAAATTTTTAGGAAGAAAAAAATATATGCATAATTATGTGCAGGGGTGCCACAGAAAGCCAGTGGTAGAGGAGCCTGCTGGTGGGTGGCATAAAACCTTTGTCCTGTTAACCCACTTGCTTCCTCGCCAAATTTATATATCTCTTCCAAGAACGTGTAAATTGGTGGGTGCAGACTCTTCCAGCAAAGTTCTCCAGCAGCTGAGTGAACACTAGGCATGTTCAACCCACAGAACAAAACGTGGCAATGACAGGTGTTTGTGTTAAAGATTTCTAGAAACTTTATGCTTATCTCCACTTTTCATTTCAAGCTGGGCATACTGGCACACGCCTTTAACCGTAGCACTCTGGAGGCAGAGGCAGGTGAGTTTCTGCACCAGGGAAGGTATAGAATCATCTGAGATGCACCCTGAACTAGACCTGGAGGTGATTACATTTCCTTCAGAATATTTCTATAAATCACATGGTATATAAAAAGGAAGGCAGGCTCTACTCTGCTTAGTAGGTTTTTACTTTTGTTGGTATTATCCTAAGTACCTTTTTTTTTTTTTTTTTTTTTTTTTTTTTTGAGACAGGGGCTCCCTGTAGCCCCAAGCTGGCCTGGAACTCACTATGTAGACCAGGGTGGCCTTGAACTCACAGAGATCCGCCAGCCTCTGCTTCCCAAGTGCTGGGATTAAAGGCAAGCACTACCATACCCGGCCTAAGTTTGTTCCTTTAAAGTTGATTGTAGCACAGTGCTTTCAGAATTACTACTTTACTGTCAAATCTTTTTTTAGCCTTAAATCTCTGACCTACTTCTATTTGACACTTAAAATGTCCCTGAATTGCTGCCTCCTCATCCCAACTTATATTTGAAAATTAAAAACTAATTTATATGTAGATTAAACATAAGAAAAATACGATGGAAAAGACAAATCTTTTTTCCAATAGGACATAAGTGCCACTAGTTAGTTTATGCCTTCCTTTTTGGACTCGGGAAAGAAAAATGTGCCTCTCTGTCCTCACAACTAAATAAGATGCATTTCCTACCTCTGAACTGATGTTTTAAAATGTGTTGCTATTCAGATGGCCAGCTTAATTCATGTTTAGTTCACCCCCTCCCCAACATTAATTTTTAATAGTTCTAATTGAAAAGAAAGATTTTTATCTTGATAGAGTGGTCCAAACTACTTGACAGACCCCATCTCACTTGTGAGTAATGCTTCAATTCCTGATGTACCCTGTGCATTACCGTATTCATTATTCTCCATGTAAATAAAATGGAGGACTTAGAGGAACCTTTTAGTGCCCTTGAAATGCAGAGTCTAAGTGGTGTTTAGTGTGTTACAAGAGCTATTATCTTAGAAAGGGAATCATCAGTTCCCAAAAGCTGTTGCTCCTCAGTGCAAGTGAAGGAGGAATTTAGGTTGTCAGAATAAATCCTGGCTAGTCCCACCCAGCCACACCCCTAAAGACTTGCTCTGTACAACCCATGTGTGCTGCCTGGGTAGCTAAGTGCACTGGGACAGCCAGGTTTTCCCTGTCCAAGTGGGAAACAGAAAAATCAAGGCATGAAATATTCCAACTGATGATTAGATTTGGCTTTGGAAAATGTTTGTTACGGTTTTTACTTTTCGGCATGAGTATGTCTTATATAGTCTCTGGATTCACTTAAGGGGAAAAAAGCATTATGTATAAAATAATTATATATAAAGTACAAAAAGCATTCTATAAAATACTTTTTTAAAGGCATGTGCAAGTGGTTTATAAAAAACTTTTTTAAATATTATTTTTATGTGTATTTTATGTGAGTGTACCCGTGTCATGCAGGGTCCGAGGAGGTCAGAAGAGAGCATTGGATTCCCCAGGAACTGGAGTTACAGACGGTTGTTAGCCACTATGTGGGTGCTGGGAACCTAACCGGCGTCCTCTTAACTGCTGAGTCATCTCTCCGAGCCCATAACAGACTTTTTTAAGATATGTTGTCTTGGTACATGTAACAGTGAATACCTTTAATCCCAGCACTTGGGAGATGGAGACCGACCTATCTCTTTGAGTTTGAGGCCAGCCTGGTCTACATAGAAAATTCCAGGTCAGCCAGGGCTACATAGTGAGACAGTCTCAGAAAAAGAGAAAAGAAAGAGGGAGGGAAGGAAAAGAAAAGAAAAGGTTCCCTTTGCTTTGTTTTGTTTTGCTTTGTTGACACAGTCGCCAGCATCCTAGGCTGGCCTTCAGCTCTGTGTTGGAGAATGACCTTGAACTTCTGGTCTTCCTTCTACATCCCTAGCGCTGGAATTTTAGGCATGCAGGACCTTTTCAGGCCTACACTACCTACACAGGCA